CTGTCCACACCAACGCATGGTCTGTAGTGCCTACATCCGTTGTGCATACTCACTCGTACTTCCGTCTCTTTCCCCCCATTCCCTACGACTTTGTAGTCAAGGATGGAGCGTTCTCCTTTTTTGAAACACTGCCTAGTCCATTCCGGTTCTGTCTTTCGTACTCTACCGTTCAACACCTTCATCTCGCTACTGTCAAGGAACCTCAGCATTTCTTCCCCGTTTTTGTTCGTGGTTCCTTCCCCATATTGCCCGATGGCTCCGTGTGGGTTCGTGGTTCGCCCGATTCTTGAATTGAAGTCCCCAACTAAAACTACTTCTCCCTTTCTCTTGAAGTTTTGTACATCCGCTGCTACCTCCTCGAACCCTATCTTGATGTCCTTCACCATTTTCTTCGACTCTGGTGGTATATATGCATTTCCTACGAACAAGTCCTTCCTTCCCCGTTCCCCTGGTACCCTTATCCACATGCTTTCGTTGAATTTGGTGTCACTGATCACCTCAATTACGTCGCACATGTGCTCCTTGACTAAGAATCCAACTCCCCCCTCCCCTCTACTCTTGATTTTCTGTCCTCTCCGCATTTTACCTATCCATGTATAGCTTCCCACTTCTTTTCCTATTCTCCCCCGTCCTTTTCCCACGACTCTTGGACTTCGACTATGTCCAGGTCTTTTTCGGCTGCTTGCTCGGCAATTTCGAGTCTTTTACGCTCATCTGTGGCAAACCCGCATACATTCCAAGACCCTAGTCTGATTTCCTTACTCCTACTTTCTACTTTCCCGTGCCTTTCAGGGTTCCTTCTGTCTCTCGTTCGCCTTCCCTTCTGCCTTATCCTTTCGCTGCTCCCCCCTTCCCCTACTTTGGCTTGCTTTCCCTTTTGATCCTTTCGCACCTCCTGCCCCCCTTTGTTTTCAGCCAGCCCTGGGCGACGCCTTACTTCCTGAATCCTATTTGCTATGCACACCCTCCAACCTAGTCTCCTCACCCACGCCGACATCTTCTCTACTTCCAGTCTTTCCCATTCTGCGCTTACTCTCCTTCCAAACGTGATTCTAAAGTGGTTTCCTTCCCTTTCTACCCCCCCCCGTGCGAAGCAATATAATCCTACTTCTTCACATATACTTTTGAACTCCAACCTTGTCATGTCGTTATTGACCCCAAATATCAACACTACCAGTACTGCACTTTTCCATTCTCTCCTTCTCCACCCTTTGTGCCTTGTCGTCTCCCTCCTTATCTCTTTCGAGACTATCTCGTTGTTTTTGTTTGAAGTGGGATGCTTTCAAATTACTGGGACTTCCCAATCCTAGTACTTGTTGAGGGTCTGGTGTCTTTCAATTCTTTTGCCGGCTCACCGACACTAAAAAGTGCCTCCAACATGGGCTCATAGCCTGGAGCCAAGTTCAACACCCTTAGCACAAGTACCCCAAGTTTGTGCCAGGCGATCTGCATGGTAACCAACCCAAGCGTCCCACGACCGTATCTTCTCTCTACTTGCCCCAGCTGCTGTACTGGGTACTTTCCTCCGGGGAGGTCATTTTCCCCATGTAGGGTTCAAGGGTGGCTTGCATAACAGAAGGTCTCACTCACACATCGGGATGTCCGTCTCTTCCTTGATTTTTATGACATACAGACATAAAAATCTCCTCCTCGTAGACGCCAGAGAGCACTACCTTCCCTGATGGCGGTCTAAGTCGACCCAGGGTTGATAAATGAGTTATGGTCATCAACGTTTGTACGGTACACCATGGGTAGCTACCCCACTAACGCTCCCGAGTAGACCTTCGCTGCCGAAAGCTTGACCAACAATCCCCCCACACTTTGTACCGGCGTCTATCCTTCAAGCTTCAAGATATCTACGTACCGCTTGGTGCTCCTTCTCTTTTGGGTCATTTGGTCGGTCATTTGAAAGCAAGGTTCTTGAGTATGTTAGGTCTGACATTTTGTCTTGCATTATCCACCCCTCTCCTTGCGGAGAATTCAGGATAGTGTCTGACCAGATTCCCACCGCCCCATGGGAACCGGTAATGTTTTACGGTTATCTCACCACGAGTCCCCAACCTTCATGTGCATCGCACAGTTGACCAAAAGGATTGCTGTGTCTATATTTATGCTTCGTTTCCGTTTTCGTGTTGGTGTGTAAGGTGGCCAATAACCTTCTACTCTTGCTTACTTTTGCGTTTTCAACTGTGAAAAAAAAAAATGGTAAGCGTCTGGAAATGTATTTCGTTGAATTCAGTTATTTCATATCTGGCTTGTCATGTTTGTGTTACTTTGTGGGAAAATAAAAGGTCGGTTAGTTCAGCTCTTTCATGTCTGGCTTGGCGGGTTTGTGTTACGGTATGGGAAAAATAAACAGTTGGTTAGTTCAGTTATTTCATGTCTGGCTCGTCAGGTTTGTGTTACGGTATGGGAAAATGAAAAGTCGGTTAGTTCAGTTTTACCATGTCTAGCTTGTCAGGTTTATGTTACTTTATGGGAAAATAAAAGGTCGGTTAGTTCAGCTCTTTCATGTCTGGCTTGGCGGGTTTGTGTTACGGTATGGGAAAAAATAAAAAGTTGGTTAGTTCAGTTATTTCATGTCTAGGGTCTGGTGGCTTGTTTTACAGCGTCGGTGCCACGCGACGCCAACCTATTCAAATTTTGCGAACAGGGGGCACAGGGGGGGGGGGCGTACTCATAGTCGTGCATGCCGTAGTCGTTAGACCATTGACCTCGCATCCCTACAAAGCCGGGACGGAGCACGCCGGGTTCTCACCGGACCAGGCTCTCACATCACCAAGCGCGAAGCGCCGTGAGATATTCGGCGAGTCGCATGAAGGGTGCGCTGCATCCTGCTAAGGGTGTTCGGCATCTTGTGCTTACTTCCTTGCGTATGGGTGACAGCTGCGTATGACTTAATTTGTTTTCTGGTGTTTTCACTTCCAGAGACAGTTGTAAGCACTGTGTAACTGCCTCGAGGGTGCTTGACCATTTTAACACAACGTGGTGCGATCACCCCCCTCGCGCGGAGTAAGGGTTCTCCATCCCGCACAACGTGATCTACTCGACCACCATTATGGTTACCGCAAAAAAAAAAAAACAGAGGTAAACAAAAAAACGGTAACCTGGTTGCCGAGTTCACGAAGTGAATTGGCTTGTTTTGCAACGTCGTTGCCAAGCGACAAAAACCCAATCCCGATGGCAAACACCGATGGGTGCGAAAAATAACCATCCAAACCGAAAAGACCATAACACGAAGGAACGAAAAATCATGGAGGGAAAATCACAAATGATCTTCCACGAAGGAACAGATCGAGATCGACTTCGCCATCAAGTAAGCCAAAACCTTACGGGAAGGGGGGTTACGATGCGATCGATTTCCGAAATGAAAGCGTAAATAATAAGTAAGAAACGAAAACCGAGCCTGCAAAAGCTAAAACGGCATTGAAAGCCGTAAACGGTCGACCAGAATCGAGAAAAGCATGGCAAAAGGGGTTTTCCAGGGAACGTAAACAACGGCCAACGAAAAGGACAGGAACCAAACGCCAAAAGCCAGCTTTCGCATGCCACGATTACAACGAGCTTGCGAGCGGGGGGGTGCGTGAAAAAACGATCCTATTTGTACGTCATGGCCAATTGCAGGAATAAAATGCTAAAAAAAGTATCAAGATGTGGAACACGTTAGCCGTGGCATGCGATAGAAGCACTGGCGGAACGTTGGACCATAAAATATGCAAAGCAAACCAAAGGGGGGGGAGTTGAACGATGCACAAAGTTGAGTGTGATCGCAACTAATGACTAAACTAGGTCGCATTGAACAATAGGGAAATGAAGCGAAAACGTACGACAACCGACCGAGAAGTGACAAACGGGGGCGAGAAAGTACGCAACACAAAAGCAAGAGCAAGTCTCAAAGGGATTGAGAGGGCGAGCGAAAAGTATAAAGGAGCATTAGCCAGTCTCGAAATAATCGAGAGGGCGAGCTAGAAACATACAGAAGCAATAGCCAGTCTCAAACTAGATCGAGAGGGCGAGCGAGAAACACAAAGACAAACATCCATAAACACAAACACAAAACCCATACACCTACGCACAAAGATATGTTTGCGGCCTACGCCAACAATTTATCGGGTGAGACTGTTTTGGTGATGTATTAACTTCACGAGAGGTAGACGACCGTCCTTCACACGGACGAAAGAGGGAGTGCTCCAAACAGAGCGTCTCCAACAGCAAGGAGGGGCCCCGTGAATCATCGCAGTGCCCTCTACCAAACGGCAATCTCACCAATCTGCGTGACACCACATCATACAGCACATGCATCCAACACCAATGTTCGCAGACCCACGAACACCCTCCCTGGTTCTTCACGCAAGTAACTAACCATCGGAACAAACTTGACCGAAATATCCCCCGACCTAAACAATCCGCGGATGAAATGAAATCTCACGTCGACGTGTTTCGTGCGACCTGAGCTGAGGAGGTTCTGCACCAACGCTATGGCCCCCTGGTTGTCCTCAAGGACCTGGATGCTGCTACCACTGGTCTCTGGAGCAACAAACGAAAGCACCGCACGCACAAACAACGCCTCCTTGACGCCCTCTCCGGCAGCAATGTATTCGGCTTCCGTCGAAGAAAAACACGATGTTCTGTGTCTTGCTACCTTGGCTGACTACGGTACCTCCAACCGTCGTCGCCAACCCTGACACCGAACGCCTATCCTCCGTGTCGGCGTAGCTAGCGTCTACGTACACGGCCAGCCCCAACCCCGATCCCCGTTTGTAGGTAATGCCGAGGTCCCTCGTCTCCTTCAAGTAGCCGAGGATCTTCTGGATGGCATCCCAGTGCCTCTTCGCCGGGGCGTGGGCGTGGCGCGCTACCGCACACACGGTGAACGAGACGTCTGGACGCGAGAAAGTCGACACCCACATCATGCTGCCGATGGCCTCCCTCACCGGCCACTCCCCTCCTTCCTCGTCATCTCGCTTCGGTCTTAGCTCGTGGGACGCCAGAGCCGTCTCGAAGGCGTCTGGCGAGTTGAGCATGAGGTCCA